CCCCAAAACCCCAAAACCCCAAAACCCCTAGCCTCATCTGATAAATTGAATATTATGAGTTATCTCCTCTTGATATAATAAAGCGGTAGATATGCTTGAATAGCAAAATCTCTATGATCTTTGGCCGTTTGAGTAGTTCCCTTGAAAGTTAATAGTTTTCCTTGCACAATGATCCCACCTCTGGTGACCATGTCACAGCGTTGGAATTCAGGTCCTGACCTGAACATTCTTGTGAGATACCTACGCTTGAGTTCCAGAATATACCTAGCAATGGCTAAAATTTGGTAGCCGATAATCTTCTGACTAATGAACTCTATATAATTGAAGGTAAATCATGCAAAGAGAAGGAAACTAATGAAAATAGATTGTAAAATACCTATAAATTCTTCCGTTTCATGCTTGTAAAATACAAAATAACTATAGGTGATTCAAGAAAATACCAGTCTAATATCTCGAAATCTGGAGGATTTTCAGACAAAGTCCTTGATCTAGCATATGCCAGAAGGCTACTAAATGCTATGTTGTTTTCATAATGTTCAATTCTTTGTAGAGAGGCTCTAGATATGTTATAAATAAGCTCATACACTTGGCCAATAATATCTTGATGCTGGAAATGGTGCTGCAAGAATACTTCTGTTTCTGGAACTCTGTAAATAATCTTTCATGTGTCAGCTGCTGCCTTGTAGTTACCGAATTTATAAAATAAATAAGCAAATGGGTCATCCTCAAGATAATCTACGAGAAATTAAAGAGCATCAATACCTTCAGGCTGGCTCTGGCTATCTCTTTGTGTGAAAATTTTCAGCCTATTGGTCACCCTAAGATTCTTACTCTTGCATCAGGATTGAGAATCCGAGTAAAATCTGACTCCAAAATGTTGTTTCCTTAATTTGGTAACATTTGCCTTTCTTAGCTAGGCTTTCAAGTATAAAGACCTTTTCGTTCTTATCAGAGGAGGATGTCTTCTTGAAATCCATGTCTACTTTACCAAAGACATATCTGTCTCCATCCTTGATCAGCTTGGAAGTAAACTACAGATAACACAGATTGGGGTACCTTGAGGAATGGTTTTCTACAGAAATTAGACCTCTGAACTTACATTGGATAGTCAGTGCTTGTCATTTCATCTGAATTATTCTCACAGATTTTCAAGAAATCTGTCCTTATTTGATCCTCATCAAGATCTAATCAAGCAAACTTGATTTTTACACTGAAGAGTCAACCGTAAAAATCTTACTCTGAAAGTTTCTTTTTGAATAATCTTTGTTTTATCTTAGAGATTCTGTTCAGGATGATCTTTTCCATTAATTTAATTGCATCCCATCCTAGAGTATAGAATAAATACCCAAAAGCACTTAAAAGCTTGACTAAAACAGGAATAGGCTACACCATAGTGGAATCGCTAACAATTCTTTGCTAAAATCAGCCGGATTTTAATATGGCTAACTTGTTTGCAATACATATGAAACTAATTTTACCTTCAAGATAGGTACTTCTTAGAGTTATCATGCCTATATCTCACAAAGGTTTGCGTACTCGACATCATTCTTGGGGATCTATTCAGGAAAAATAGAGCACTGTTATTAATAATACGATTATCATTCTGATAATAAAGTTGGCTCTTCTCCTCTTCCTAAGATTCAGAATTTGTAGCTTACCGGGTTTTCTATAATGTCAAATCCACTGGTAGGATTGGTGGAGCATTTCCTCTGCTCGCTATTTTTCCTCCTCAGAGCCTTCAGCAGCAAATCTTTGGGGATCATTGACTCCTTCTTCAGAGTCTGCAAGTTGTCGTTGTGTTGGCTGCACATCGGAACAGTCAAGAATAAAATCTTTTAAGGCTTTGATATATTTCCCTGTTTTCTTCTTCTTTTTATCAGGTTTGGCCTAAATATGAGATAAATCCCTACCAGGCAGGTGTCAATCTTGATATAGGTGAATAAACTAGACATTTTGTCAGAGAGGACCCTTTGAGGGTTCTTCATTAACTCATTAAAGTGACGATAAGTTATCGAAAATTCCCTGGAGTTGCTCAACTCACGCTCATATCTTTGGTAAAAGAGTATATCAAATTCATTATTTGATAGTAACTTTATCTGACATAGAGCATTCAAATTTTATTTGGTCATCTTCTAGCTCAGCTGGATCTATTGAGAACTTCTTTTTAAACTTCTCGGCATTATTGGGTTGTCTGAGGTATCTAAAGGTCAACCCAGATGCTTACCTAATCAGAAGGTTGACTTCTTTTCCATATTTCTTAATAACCAGTGTCTCTTTAGGTATAGTTTTTGGAAAATTTCAAGCTCAAGAGTTGAGTTTTGTAGCTCTCTAGGGGTAAATCATATTTGTTACCGGCATAGTGATCTCTGATATATTACGTATATTTCCAGCTATGACAGATAAGCCAAATCTTACCAGTTCTAACAAGTTGTTTTGCCTCCTCACTGGACATGAAAGAGCCTTCTCAGCATCCAAGAGGGCGGTAGGGACAGATTGTCATGCGACTCTCTAATATATTTCCAAAAGATGCTGCAGATTTATTATCAGCAAAGCTTTGGTCCCAGTCTATGGATAACCTAGGTGCTTACATCCTTTGACTGTTTTCTTAAGGGTGAGGAACTCTCTGTTAGACAGATTTAGAAGAGATTTGATCCACCGATAGGCATCTTCCTCAGCCAATCTCTTGTATTCCCTCAGAGTTTCTATACTCTAACAACTAAGCCTACTCTGTATCTCAGTCCGATAGTCTTTCGTGGGCTGATTAAATATTTTGTAAATCTGGAACAATAGATTAGATCGGATTTATAAGGTGAATTTTTGCCTAAGCGCTCTTACCTTGTGAGAGATACCTAGAAATTGGCAACGAGCCGACAACAAAAGGCTGCAATTTCAGCTGGCTAACACATGCTCATTAATATCCATTGTGACCTTATTTTAACTTATTTTAAATAGGGTAACTCTAAAAGATGATGAGCAATATTTAAGGAAGTGAGATTTTGGATTACCTTTTGAGAAGCGCTCTGTCTGATTAAGCTTCATATCTTCTTCAATACTGCTCATTATCCTACTCTTGCTCATTTCGTTAAGAATTCCCATGCTTATTATGCTCTGATCTCTTCCCTATTTCGACTTTTAGAAGATAAGTTTGGAGAAAGGATTTTTACCATTCCTTGAGAGCCATTAATATAGCTATTTCCTAAAGATTTTAGCTGATACTTATACTATTGCTGCTAGTGTTTTTGTATCTATTTTTCAATACTAAAGTGTAAATTATTAATTACGTTTGATATAACGGATAGACAATTGACTCTGTATGTTCCTCTTCAGAAGGTTGACTAGGCTCATTCTTGGTTTCCTCTTTCACATCAACAAAATATCTAAAACAGGTAGTTAAGTGATTGTCATTGGTTCTATTTGACCTCTTGAGGTGCTTATCAGCACCCTGCTTACTTTGATTTACTTTCTAATTCATGTAGATGATCATTAGACCTAAAATTATCAGCAACGAGGATGTCTTACAAGTCACTCATCTTATTATATATTTACAATAACAAATTATATTTCATTTTGAAAGCCAATTTTAGGGGTTTTGGGGTTTTGGGGTTTTGGGGTTTTGGGG